CACAATATATATTCTTTGAAAATGTGCCTTTTTAAAAATCACTATTAAAAGTGTCTATCTATTCTAAGAGTTACAGAATAATTATTAGGAAGCAGTGAAACAGAAAAAGCTCCAACAACTTTGACGGTGCCTAGAAACTTTTGGGGACAGGAATTAGGAAGATGGGAACAATTTGCTGCACAGTGAAGAATGCTGGAACTGCTCTATGCCGGCAGAAGTAGCCTGTGGAAAGAGCAGGGATCTCAGTTTCATGAAGGGATCTGTAATTTCCGGGCTTCTACTCCTTAAATGCTGAGCACTGATACATTTGCAGGGAATCACACAGGCCTGATTAGTGTGACAAGTTCCAGTCACTCCCTTACGGGTACTCATCTCTCCTAGAAACTCATTTCACATCTCATCAGTTACAACCAGGAGCCAGGGAAACAAGTTTCTTATTCATCTGAGATAAAAATATAGGTATAGAACTAATGGAATAAAGGATTAAGATCTTTCCCTAAACACTGTGAGCTCAAGAAACCTTATTTCTGCAAATGGAACAAGATTTCTGCTGTTTTCTACAGGGCACTTGATGAGTGATAGCTGTGGCACATTCCAAAGGTATCTTAGGCATGCAGGGGAAATATGACAGGAGTGTTTGTTCCAGGGACTACGTTACGGATGGGGTGATTCATGTTGTTTTGTCCCTTTGGCACTTGGCAGAAGGGTTTTTAATAAAGCTCTACAGAGTGCTAGAAGTAAAACAATTATGACACGTGTTTTAAAGAACAGCTTCAAAAGATGCTAACATTTTAGAACTGCCCATGTTGTGACAGGGAAGAGAGCAAGGGCTTTTCCTTCTGAACATTGATTGTGAACAGAATTTTATAGATAACCTCCATTGTGTAGAGAGAGGAGATGGAAAATAAGTGAAGACAAAAAACCATTCCGGAGTTCTTCACAGTTAACTGCCAACTAGGAAAGTCCTTCTGGTGTTTATGTAATGCTGCTGTTTTCACAACAAGCAGTTAAAAGAATTATCAAGTCAAGCTGAAAGAAAGCATTCTGAAAATTCAGCAAAGCCCTAGATGTAAACAGTACTTCTTGGTTATTACTAAGCACAGTTCTTAAGTCTTCCTAGAGATTCTGAGGTCATTTTAACAGCAATCTGGTTATTGTGTTCTGCATTTAATCCTAGTGTATGTTTAGACATTTAAAAAAAATCTGATTTTTAGAAGCCATGGGCAATATTTCATGGACGGTTCCTATAGGTCATAATAGGTCATACAGAAATAAAATATAGTGAGCATAGATTATTACATTCTTTGGATATGGGACAATAGTTTTTTTCCCATATAAAAATTGAAATGAGAAAGTGGAGAGTAAAAATAAATTAAAAAATGTTTAATTATATGAGTGGAAAGAGAGGTAATATAATTAATATTATAAAATAAAATGTTCATGAATGTTTGAATGGAAAAAATCAATATGCTTTGTAAACTTTCATCCAACAACAAATCAAACAAACTGTAGGGTGGAGTAAAAATTTCTAAGCCCCAAATATATGTCCTATGTAGGTCTAAAATAGTATGTTTTCCCATGCTAAGATAAACACAGCTATTGTGGCCTACAACTTCCTCTATTTCTCAAGTTGAAAATATCAGTTGTGACGTACCTGTTTTAATTTAGGCCAGAATCTATTTCCAACTTCTTATTATTTTGTTTCTAAGCTAAAAAGAAAATCTACTTTTAGAAACCTGGAGTTTCATTTAGGAACACTGGGGAAATTTGTTTCAAGAGACCTCTTTATAAAAAAAAAAAAAGAGAGAGAGAGACCTCTTTATAAGTGCTAAGGGCAAGGATGTCATTTTGAGAACTCTAATCAGAATGACCCAAACCATATTTTCAAATGCTTGTGAAAAGTGGATAATAATAAAGGAAGACCAAAGACCTGTGCCTTTGAATTGCAGTATTGCTTAAGAACATTGAATATCTCATGGATGGCCAACAGAACAAACACATATGTTCTACAATAAGTGTAATCAGAGTGCTCCTTAGAGGCAAGGCTGATGAGACTTATTTCACATACTTTTGACATGTTGCCAGGTAGGGTCAGTCCCTGGAAAAGGACATCATCATTAGAAAAGTAAAGGGCCAGTGAAGGAGAGGATGTCTCCCAAAGAGAAGTGACACAGTGACTGCATCAATGACCTGAAGCATAGCCAAGATTGTCAACCTGGCATTGGCTGAGGCAGAGTTTTACATTGCCTCCAGTGTTTACTATGAAACAGAGATGACTTGATACTACCTAACAACGTCTATTCCTTCCACAATCCCTCTGTTAGTTTATGATATGTGGTGGCTTATATGTTGCTATGATACTGCTGTGGTTTAAATTTCAGCAGGTTCACTAAAAGATCAAAGGCTTTCCTTTCTGAACATTATTTGTGAACAGAATTTTATAGAGAACCTCCATTGTGTAGAGAGAGAAGATGAGAACTAAGTGAAGAAGACAGTAACCTTTCCAGAGGTTTTCACAGCTGTCAGGGAAGGGAAGTCCTTCTGGTGTTTGCTTAACGCTGCTGTTTTCACAACAAGCAATTAAAAGGTACTTCACAATGAAAAATACCTGGTGATCTACTTCAAAAAAGCAACCAGTGAGAACCATGGATCACAAGGATCCAGCCCCACTGTGTACAGATCACTACAAGTGGGAGGCAAATAAACATCAATCAACAACAATATTTTCCTTTTTTTTTGTTTTGGTTTTTGAAAACTGACAGAAAGGCACTGAAGGACGTGTTCCTGTTTATTTCTTATCTTAGTTTATATTTTAAAAATATATTTCTGTATCATGTTTTGCCATTTCATATGCATTCTTTTGCTTAATTCTCAGGACAAGTATTGAGGGGGGTGCTGGGTTTGTTTGGGGTTTTTGAAAATATAATTTCTTGGTCCCATTTTTCGGATGGGAAAACTGAGCCTCTAATCGTCAGTGACAAATGTATTCTTTCATAAGCAACAAGTAATAGAGTTGATGTCAGCCTCAGGCTTTCCGTATTATATTGTATATTCTTTATTAATGTTAAATAAAACTCTAGTATGGCCTCCTGGGGTTGAGCCGTCAATGTAAAGGCACATGGTTTGAGTTCACCAGCTGCTCCAAGGGAAAAAGACAGGGAACCTCCTCCAGTGTACTTTACTGCCTCTGAAAACTCACCAGAGGGTTAGCTATGAGTCACTTCTGACTCGATAGCATATAACACAACAATAATAATTTTTCTTAAGAAAAAGGAAGGAGCATTAGTACTGGTGCAAGAAGCATAGAGTTGCAGTGGTTAAATACTCACTCGCTAACTAAAAAGTCAGCAGAAATTCACTGGGAATATGCTAGGTAGTCTGCTTCCTTAAAGATTACTGTTATGCCTCATCAAGTTGAAACCAACCCATAGCTGACCCTCCAGCAGGTTTTGAGAAGCTGATAATTTCATAGGAGGTGACTGCCTATCTTTATCTTGTGGAGTAGCTAGTGGATTTGAACATCATGCCTTGGGATTGCAGTACAACTTCTTGTCCCTAGGCCATCAGGACTCCCTTAAAAATTACAGCCTTGGAAACGCGCATGAAACAGTTTTATTACACTGTACAGAATAACTAAATGTAGTCATCCACTATATGGCAATGCTGTTTCCCCCTAGTATAGTTTTGTGATAGCACAATCCTACTATTCTGTTTTGCTATCCAAAAGGCTGAGCATCTTCAGTGGTTGGAACTTTTCATCTATTCCCCAAAAGCCACTCTGAAGGAGAAAAGTAGCAAGTTTCAGTTCATTAAAATGACTTAAAATGAAAATGTCATCAAGATTATAGCCTCTAAGAAGTGGAATAGCTGGTTCATATGGAATTCCTATGTTCAGCTTTTTGAGGAATCGCCAAACTACCTTCTAGAATGGTTGCACCATTTTACATTCCCAACAACAATGTATAAGAGTTCCTTTCTCACCACATCCTCTCCAATATCTATTACTTGCTACCCTGTTAAACTTTGCTACTCTTACTGGAGTGAGATGGTATCTCCTTGTGGTTTTGATTTGCATCTCTCTTATTGCCAGTGATTTGGAGCATTTCTTCATGTGTCTATTTACCATTCAAATATCTTCCTCTGTGAAAATTCTTTCCATAGTAATTCCATATAACCCAGCTATTCCACTACTTGGAATATACCCTGAGAACATTAGAATTGAGGCACAAACTGAGATTTGTACGTCAATATTCATAGCAGGATTATTCACCATCACAAGAACATGGAAACAGCCCAAATGTCCAACCACAAATGAATGGATTGAGAAATTATGGTACAGTCACATTATGGAATACTATGCAGCACACAGGAACAATAACTTTGTAAATTATTACCTAACTTGGAAGGGACTGGAGACCGTTATGCTGCATGAATTAACACAGTCCCACATGGATAAATATTGTATAAAACTGTTATTGTAGATTGAGTGTAAGGATCCAGGAGGGGTGGGAAAGGCTGGAAGCAGAGGGATGTGGATGTGTGTGTGCGTGCGTGCGTGCGTGTGTGTGTGTGTGTAAATTAATTATTGGGTTGTACAATTTGATGGATGGGAGGGGTGAGGGAAATGGAAAGAATTTCTTTGAATTTGTATTCGAGTTTTGTAAATAAACTAGTAGAGAAAAAAAAATTACAGCCTCAGGGACCTGAAAGAGAGCTGCTGTTAGAAATGGCTGTATCATACATTTGGTTATATATTCTAGCCAGGCTATTATTGACTCCCATGACATATTGTAAGACTTATAAAGAGGAATTCCTTTTTAACATGAATTTAAGGCATGAATCTTGGTAAACCCAGCAGAGGTAGAAACTGGGCTCCCAGTGATCTTCTACTAGCTGTGGGGCCCTTGTGCAATGAACAACCCGAACCACCATCTGGAAGAAGCCCTGCATCCTAGACTTGCATCACTGATACAGTTACAAAAGGATAACATATGACATACCTCGTGAAACTTTTTGACGGTTTTCCCTGATTTGCAAGTGCACTTTCTCCAGTGGATAGTTCCACAGCCACAGTTGCCTCCACAGCGCTTCACGAGGAGACAACGTGGAAAGAAGACCACATTGGCTACCTTCAGCTCCTCTCTTAGGTTGACTGAGTAGTTCCTGGGAGTGCAACTGTACCGCTTGGTGTCCTCCACGAGCCCGTCCAGGTTAGCTGCAAGCAAACACAAAGGTGATCAGATTCTGTGAGGACAATAATAACCGAGGGATTCAGTTAGACCTTCGAATCTCAGTCACTACCTCAATCAAGTAAACTGGAAAATCTGTTGTGTGTGTTTTCATTTTTGTTTTTTTCTCATTTGATTCCATTTGTCTAGCAGGGGAGGACAAAAAGAAGAAAAGAAAAGGAGTATCTTGATCCGAACCTGTATCTTGGCTCAAATTTCTTTATATCTTGATTCAAAGGTCTAAAAAACCCAAAAAAACTATGAGAAAAGAATAACCAACTTAAAATAATTGTAGTTTCGTATTTTCTTCTGTTTCTAAATAGCTCCTTGATTCAAAGTAATTTTTAAGAATTTATCCTTTCCTTTTTTACTGGTTTGTATACAATAATTCATTTACATTGTGTTTCATTCATGTACATTGTGTTTTATACAATCTTTCATTTGCATTGTGTTTCATACTCTTATTCACGTTCCTTGTATTATTCAAAGTCATTTTTAAGAGATAATTTAAATTGTATTAGGCAATCATTAGGGGTTAACAATCTATTTACTTGGTAATGAATTGTATAAGCAAACATGAGGAAGAAAAACTGTCCTGGCTTCTTAATTCAAAGAAATGTCAAAGAGAGTGACACTCTGCTGTTGAGTGAGGTGTGTATCTGTGCATTGGGTGTGAGAAGGCAGTGAGGTACAGTGGTTAAGGGCTCTAGCTCTGCGGTAAAGCCACAGTCGGCTTCCCATCAGGACTCTGCCTCTTTTGAATTGCAAGATTATCTCCTACTTTGAATGATTTTTAACCAGCAAACTGTAAACAACATCACTTCACCCATTTCATGGCAATAGCTAATGAACTAACTCTAGTATACCTAACACTCAATTGATGCTGGTTATTGTTCTTTACCAGGATAATTTTCATTATTTCCCCATATCCTCCATTTAAAACCAGGTATGTACTTCCGGAAATTTATCTTTTTAAAAAAATATTTATTATTATTATTATTTCTGTGTGTACTGTCTAATCGGATCTGACTGGTACAGGAAGCAATTGTTCCTCCCTCTTCAGCAGAGCATCTGGTGGATTTGAACCGTGCATCTCTGGGTTTGCAGTGCAGCTTCTTGCCACTAGGTCACCAGAGCTCGCCCAGAAATTACTCTTTTCTGGTCATTACTCTATATTTGTAATTCTTAAGTGGGTTTGGTTTATGAGGCTTCTGTGAATTAAGAACAAGAGTCTAAAGATTCAACGCTGAGTTGTTAATACTTAGACCCTCTCCTACCATCATTGTGAGTATTGTAACTTGCAGTGATCCTAAAAGATGGAGTAGAATTGTCATATAGGGTTTCCACAGCCATAAATCATTATAGAAGTAGACTGCTGTATCTTTCTTCTGCAGAGTGTTTAGCAAGTTTGAAGTACTAAATTTCCAGTTGGCAGCTGAATTCTTAAATTATTGCATTTACACTCACTTATTGCTGCTGAGTATTGCTCAGCTTGACTTATTACCATGGAGTTGTAACTCACAGCTGACTCCCCAGCAGGATTTCAGAGGCTGTAAATGGCATGGGAGGAGATTGTCCATCTACTTCCTTCGAAGCAGCTGGTAGATTCAAATCACGTGCCTTTTAGTTGGTAGAATAACTCCCTACCCACCAGGTCACCAGAGCTCCCTTACCTGCACCAGCAGGCCCCATCTCATAAACAGTTACATGGGGAAAAAAACATTCATTTACTCATTCATTCATTTGGAATTCAAATCCTATGATTTGTGAGCATATAAATAAATACCTTTTCACAAGAATGCAGCTGTTGTTGTGTACTGTCAAATCGCCAGTGACTCATAGTGATCCTATGCACAACAGCTCTGAAGCCTGCCTTGTCCTGAGCCAATCTCACGGACTCTGACACACCAACCCCCATTGCCCCAGTCACTATCAATCCATCTCATCCGGAATCTTACTCTCCTGCACTGTCCCTCCACTCTTCCGAGTATAATGTCCTTCTCAAGGAGCATTAATTTTATCTGCACATGTTCCAGCCACCACTTCTTTGTGTACTTCCCTTGTGCACCCGCTAGGCCACTATAGGGAGATTCTAGTCCCAAAAAGATATCTTAGTTTTAGACAAAGACTTCTTGCAGGGTGGTTAAAAGGTACTTTTCAGGAGGAGAGGTCACAGCCAAGGACTCAATACATCTGAGAAAAATGTAAAAAAAAAAAGTTTTATGTGCCATCAAGCCAGAACCAACTTATAGCTGATCCTCCAGTGTGTTTGCAGAGGCTGTAAATTGCATGGAAGAGATTGTCCATCTTTCTCCTATAGAGCAGCTAGTGAACTTGAACCTTGTACCTTTAGGTTGGTAGCACAATCCATTACCAACTAGGTTACCAGAGGTCCCCCCACCAAATAAATAGACATAAATTGAGGGCAAGGAGTTCATTTGATCTAAGAGAGTCAGATAATATCATCGATGCCAAGTAAAGCAACTTTATCAGCCAAATAAAAGAAAAACATGATCACATAGCCTTGAATCATATATTCTTTGAGCATGAAGCTAAATGTCCAGACCATACATATGGGTGAGTATCCCTTCCTATGTGCAATGATACTCTCTGATTCTCAAGAACATGGATTTATTTCCAAATGCTACATGCCGAGTCCAGGACACATGAGCTGAACAAATGCGAAATAATCATTGTGCAAAATGTATTGCTATTTCCCCCCTCCTTCTTTTGTAAAGACATGACATAAGTTTAGCTATATTCAGTCTAGATTTAAATTGAATGAACTCTGTCTTGGGAAAGGAACAATTTTATTGCCGCTAAAGCTCTGAAAATAACTGCAAGCAAAGCAGGAAGGATTACATAAATGGATTAAGAAGTGGGGCAATCATCCATTACAAGTGTCACCTTGAGATAAATACTGATGCTGGCCTGGGTGATGCGAGGCTGCAGGCAGGGCTGATGCAGAGGGCCAAGTCTTCTGCCTGTGAAAGTGGAGAGCTATTTGTCTAACATCAAGGAATAAAAAAAAAATTGCTCTTTGCCAGGAGGGGTTGTAATATGTGGGAAGGAAGGACCAGTACTGAGGGGCCTCTCACACTTAGCTATGCCGCACCCTTTTCAGGTAGAGCTTTGGCAGCCCCTAAGCAAGATGCTGCACTGCAGTCCCAAAGGCATGTGGTTCAAGTCCACCAGCTGTTCCACGGAAGAAGAATACCTCCTCCCTTGACATTAATTGCTTCTGAACAACCCCCCCTACCAGAGGAAGAGCAATGAGTCGGTTCAACTCAGAGGTACATAACAACTATTTAACCAAGGAATCTCTGGTGGACTGTTGTTGTGTATGGTAGAATTGGGACGCATAGCTGACCCTTCGGTGGGTTTTCAGAGGCAGTTAATCACACGAGAAGAGATTGCCCAGCCTTCTCTCTCAGAGCAGCTGGTGGCCTCGAACTGCATGCCTTGAGGATTACAGTGTTGCTTCTTGTCACTGGGCCACCTGAGCTAGTGGTAAGGAATTGTGCTGCCTTCTAACCCAAAGGTTGTTGTTGTTGATTGCCATGGAGTCGAGCACAACTCATAGTGACCCTATGAACAAAAAGCCTGAAGCCTTTCTGTAACTACCATCATTTCTCAAAGTTCATAGCGTTTGCATAGGCATATTGTTTAGGAAGTGAATGACAGCTGCTTCTCAGAAGAAAGATGGTCAGTCTTCTCCTGTGCAATTAATGGCCTCTGAAAAGCTGCTAGCGGGTCAGCTCTGAGTCTGTTCTGACTAGAGAGCATATAACAACAGCAACAATACCTATATAAGGTGAGCAGTAAGTCTTCAATTATCATTGAAGTCCTCTTCCTACCCATTTTCACTCTGATAGTCTTTGCCACCACCAGAACAAGGGCTTGAAGAGTAAATTAGCAGAGGAAGAGGGGCCATCTTTGTGATGCTGAAACAGGCTCCCCTGGAAACACCCTGCTGGAGGAGGGATGTGGCGAATGGCCACATTCTTTCTTCCAGACATATTTCAGCTAAAGGACAGCATCCCTACACTTTAGAATTTAGCTAAACTGTCTACAAGGATAAGCCATAGGCGCCTTGAAATGAAACGCCTCATGTTATGTAACTGTTGTAGTGACTAGTGCTAGTGACTTCTGCTTCTTACCAGCCATGAAGAGATTTACACTGCTGTCAATGTTGGGTTTTTTTTGCTTTTTTTTTAATGCATCAGTTGACTGATGTGACTAAAAACTATGGCCCAGTGTGACTGCAGTAGAATCCAGCTGCCCCACTTATCTGGGGATTGAAACCATAAAGGCACTCAATTTAGAACTAGAACTAAAAGCTTCTTCTGACTGGATGCAAATAACTTCAAAGCATGATTGCAGCTTCTCTGCAGGGGATATTGAGTTTCCAGTCAAAGACGACTGATTAGGCAGCTTGACGGAGCAGGGAGCCAGGCACACGGCTGAGCTGAGTGGCAATTAATGCTCCTGGTGCCTGGGTTGGAAATGGGGTTGGTGGAGTCTTTTGGGAGGAAGGCAGGCTTTGCTGTGCAAACCCAGGTAGAGGGGCTGCCCTTTTGCATTCCAGTGTCTAAAGTTATCACAAGAGCAGCAAGGATGCTATCAACTTAATTCCTAGGTCTACTGTTGTTGCTAGGTGCTGTCGAGTTACTATGACTCATAGCAGCCCTGTCAACAACAGATCGGAACGTTGTCCTGTCCTTTGCCAACTTCATGATCTCTGTCATGCTCGGATTCACTGTTGCGATCACCGTGTCAATCCATCTTGCTGAAGATCTTCTTCTCTTTTCTTGACCCTTTACCTTTCCCAGCATGATTTCTTTTTTTCAAGGACTGACCGCTCCTGACAATATGTTTAACATATATGAGATGAAATCTCACCACCTTTGCCTCTCATGAACATAACTGATTGTACTTCTTATAAGTGAGATGTGTTTATGTGTTTTGGTTTTGGGGTGATTTTTTT